TTCCAGAGTGTCTCACAGTTTGAGTAAAATCATGTATATGAAAGCAGTTTAAGACTATGTATTGTCGTAAATGGGTCCACCCAGAGGTTCCTCTAAAAAAAATGCCTGGAGACCTACTTCCAAAAAATCAGCCTTTAAAAACTCTACGGAGCACAGCTAGATTCTGACACACATGGCATTGCTATGTATTGAAACTGACTCAATAGTAACTTTTTTAATCTTAAAATGGAAGGTGCATTATATACATTCTTCATTTTAAAATCCTCAACAATACTATTACTCTGTACATAAGACATACACACATTTCCCAAAGACAGCAAGTAAAATTTTTGCTCTTTGGGGAATAAACAACACTTGGAAGAATCTACATTAAAAAAAGTACTAAGGAGTTTTTGTGACAGTTTTATGAAAGCTTAATCCTGTGACAAGTCTGAAATTTATCAATTGAAATTATGCATCATCCTATCTGTTAAGAAAGGGACAAGCCATAGAAACAAGACTCATATCTTTGTCATTAATCTCACAATGGAAGATTAAGGGGAAGGGAGAAAAGTTATTATAAAACTGAAGAATTATTTCAAATTAGCATAGAATCTTGCCATTAATTCAAGATAAGGAAAGCTGCTGACAGTCACAGTAAAGTTATGTCACTCATTTTCCTAAAAATAAGTAGAAGTCAAAGAGTATCTAATTCTAACATACGTTTACTAATGTCATTGCAGTTCAGCCCAGAGTTTTATGCTTAGCATGTTCAAAATTAATACATCAGACCTATAAACCAAAAAAAAACCCAAACTCGTCGCCATTGAGTCGATTCTGACTCACAGGACCCTAGAGGACAGAGTAGAACTGCTCCACAGGGTTTCCAAGGCTATAAATCTTTATGGAAGCAGACTGCCACATCTTTCTTCTGTGGAGTAGCTGGTGGGTTCAAACTACTGCCCTTTTGGTTTGCAACTGAGCATTTTAACCCCTGTGCCACCAGCACTCCTCTACCAGACCTATACACACTCTTACATTGTCTTTTTAGGGCTTCATGTCCCTAGAAGGGAAAATGTATAACCATATTTAAATACTATTTAATTAAAGCCAAATATTACAACATTTAGCGCACTTAAATTCAATGAGTTCATAGTTGGAATTGACTCGATGGCAATGGGGTTATGTAAGTGGAAAGGCCTGCAAGTTTACTGGATATAAGGTCACATTTTCTCTGTATTGATATAAATTAAAAGCTATATTTTACATTCCATGCTACTTTTGCAAGTGACACTCATCTTGGACAATTAGTGTTGACAACTAAACCAGCCACAAACAGAATATTTAACTTAATAACTTTTTCATTATTACTTTGGTACAATATCCATTCTATTTGTGATTGCTACAACTTTTCCATCCGTTATCTTTTAAACCATTGAATAGAAAGATTTAGACAGAAAAGGAGAGGAAGACAAACACATCACTAAAAAAAAAAAAAAGAAAAATATTAATCAATTGCTTCTTATCAAAGTTAAAAAAAATATAAATACTCCATAAAATTATTTTATTATTTCACTAAGGTGATAATACATGGACACTTGATCTGTTTTATTATTGATTTCCTATTGCCCATCTGAAATTGAAAAGGACCATCTGGTTTGCACACACCAAATTTAGCACACATAATCCTCTATACCAAAATATCTCTATTCATTAGCTACTAGAAAAACGTAAGAAAACAGCCTGTCTTCAAGTTATTCCAAATATTTTGCAAGTGTATATCGAATTTAACTAGTATATTTGTTTGCAAAGATAGCTATTTTGGTATCTGTCTGAAATGTAATTGTATAATATTTTAATAAAATAAAATTGTCCATACTGAATTTATTTTTTAAATATTCTTTTGGCATCCCCCATACTTTGGATAGAATACAACAAAGAAAGGTAAACATTAATTAAATTTTGAAATTTGAATAAAAGGGCTACTGATTGCATCTATTTGTTGTTGTTGTTGTCATTGTTATTGGAATAGATTCTAATTTTATTTTATCCGTATTTCTTATCATTTTAGTTTTATATCGAGCAAAGCGTGATTTGCCTACAGCATGAAGAGTTTAAAAAAGAAAGTGTTTTAATTTAAGCTTATACAAGTACTGCTGAAAAGAAAACAAGCTATAAGAAATATTATTTTTCCTTAGGAATTCAGGATTTAGACCAAAAGTGATAAGTTTGGGTTAACCAGGTTCAGATTTAAATAGTATGTCAACTTTATACACAGAATGGCTTAGATTGCTAAAGTAGTCTTAGAGCGCTAAATTAATTCTGAGGCAGAAGAACTGGCATTAAACTATACCTGTCCACAACATGACCAAGACTCTTTATTCTCTAATCTGACGTTTTTGTCTTCGAGTATACAGTCCACAACATAATAAACATACCCTGTTTAATGGCCCTTATACAGAGACAGACTAGACTCTGCAATTTTATAAGAAACCACTGCAGGGAAATCATGATTAAATAAATCTAACCAGCCGCATATTATGTCTTTACACTTAATCCCACATGAAAAATTTAAAAATCTAGTCTGTATCACTGTGAGAAATGAGTTCCATGTTAATTCTTCAAAATACTAAGTTTCAAGACCTATTTTTACCCTTTTGTACCCAAAGGCATAGAGCTTGATAGATGAGGTTGCCTTATACTCACTGCTTACGTTTCACCTTTAATTAGAGTGGAAAATCATGCGTGTATATGCGCTAGGTCAGTCCACGCAACAAACACAATCACGTGACCCACACACTCTGACAATTGATTTTTCCAAAATTTTGCTTAGATTTGCTTTAAGGACATTCAGCATCCTCATTTGTCAAAACAAAATTCCCTTTTCTTCACTAGAAAATATTTTTCCTAATTTACAATTTACATTAAAAAAAATTCGTAAACACCTACATAAAATCAATTATTTATGATTATGAAAAACAGTAGGTTACTGACACTGTGTTACGCTTGGAAAAAAAAGATTTAAACTTTTCTTAGTTTCAATTTTCTCAATCCTAATATGAAAAGACCAGCATGCTATAGACATTCTACACTTCTAATGTTCTACTTTTGTTCTGTGTGCAGCTTCCTATCAGTTTCTTACGTTTACAGGAACTTTAACAGTAACATTTCATTTTATATAATATTTTCATCACACAAAGAAAATAATAATAGTTAAAATTATCCTAAATGGGGTTAACAAATGATGTACAGGATGAAAGCATTAGCACTTAGATAGTATATATATCTGGTAGTCAACATACAAACATAGAATACTTAAGAACTTAAATTATAAACGAAAAAAAAAACCAAAATCACTTATGTGTCTGTCACATTTAAGAAAATCTTTCAAAATTTATTGTAACTAATAATTACTATTTAAAAATTAATTTACTGTTGACAAAGTCGTTTCACGTATATTTGGATTATGGATGATTTTTAAAGCTAGCACTACTATTCATGTATTAAAGAGAATGCTTTATACCTATAATTACTTTTAAAATTTAGAAGACAAAAGTAGTAGCTATGAATTTGCAAATATGACTCTCCACAAATGAGCTCTAATTTATATGCATTTCTGTTTAAAAATAACACCCTCCTGCTTTACTGTGTTAAAGATTTTATAACTAACTACAACAAGTAAATTGTTTAATTCATTAGTACTTTTAGAAACTATGGTATTCTTGCAAAATGACACAATTCTGTCCGTTTTCAAAAATGTCAAATGCTTAAACTCCTAATAAACCAAGTTCTAGAATGAAATCCTAAAGAGAAGACAAAAATTAAGGAAAAGTGATCATGTCATCAGTTAGGTGAACTAATGGCAAATAAATATTGATCAAAATAATTAAATTAATTAAATATATAGCCTTTAAACACTTAAAATTCTTTGCTTTGAGTTTCACTTGTTTCTCTGTTCAGTACACTTCCTTTGAAAAATTTTTAAAATTAAAATATACCAAGTTTGATATAATACAAATGCTCTACAATTCAGATTGAACATTTTATTACTGCTATGAAAACATGCAAAATTTTATACAGAAATGACTCCTATATGTCTTATATAACCTATAGCCATTATCTTAATATGCACATTTTGAACAGTGGTATTAGCATGTAAAACTGAGGAGATACTTAACATTTCCTTCAAGAGTGAAAATGCAATATAAATGTTATATTGACTGATCATGTTTTAGATTGTTTTAAATTAATTTTTTTTTTACATTAAGTTACACAATATCTTGGAGGGAGCACCGAACAACTGTTTCATTATAGCATTAGGTGAGGTCACACTGTTTAGTTTCATTGTGTGGGATAATAGATCCATCCGGTTCGTTTGTGAATTCAGGTGGATCGGAGACTAATGTGATTTGGCACCAAGGTAAGGATTCACAGACTTATATCTACAGGATATATGCATTACGTGATAGTAAGAGACATTTACAACCCAGAATATAAGAGCAGGGCAGCCTCAAATGACATCACCAGATCATCTGCATCATCAACCAACCGACTCAAATATATATCCTACACACCACCACTCCCCTGTCTTTCTCACTATTAGCAAACCCTCCAAGGCTTTCCCCGGTCTAAGAGTATGTGTCTCCTTTAAAAGCAAGAGATATGCTAACTCAAATGAAAAACAAGAAACCAAAGGGATCAAATTAAAAAAAAAAAAAACTCAACTGAGTAAAATTTTCACTAAATTGACATTTAGATAATAGGAACAACAAAGAAACATTAAAGGAGAAATTAACTTGAATTATCTAGATAAAGAAAGAAAGGAAGGCAGGAAGATAGAGCCACCTGATTATCCGAGTCTAAACCTTGTTTATAACTCTGATTTGCTCCTGAATCAGGCATCTGTGGGAACCTTGAGTTTCTTTCTTTAAAAATTAAAACAACAACAGTAGTAATGAAGGGAACTCTATTGTCTCATCTTAATTCTCTTCTAATTTATCCATAACTTCTGTTTTACTTACAGGCATTTGTTACAGCAAAACTGTTGGCTGTCTCAATGTTGTCCACATGAGGTACCAAATTAAAAGGAGCTTCCGATGCATTGGGGCTGGTGTTATGAAGAAAAATTGCTAATCGAAAAGCAGTGTATTCCTGATCTGTGTTTCGGATGAAAAGACCACCTATTAAAAACAGCAGGAAAAGCACATTCAGTGTTTCCTCTGTTAAATGTTATACCCACCCCAAGCCCTGTCAAATCTACTGCGGTTCACAAGCGCAAGCATAAGCAGAAGGAACTGTCCCTGGCACATCTTGGGAGACTGCCCTTTGTCCCAAAGGTGCATGCTTAGTATTTTAGTCTTTAGGACACCTCAGCTTTTTCCTGTCCCAATTTGTCATGATCACAATGACCTCTGAGACCATTTAGTGTGTTTTCCTTTCTCTCTCTTGCCCTCCCCATGATTCCCAGCACCCTGCTACATCAGCTAGCTCAGGGCATTTCTAAGAGGCATGCAGATGAACAGAAAAGAGGATTTGCATTAAAATACAGAAATGAAGAGATGTGGTGACATGCAGTGAAGAGGGAAATCAGAAAGGAGAAATGAACTTTGTTTTCCTGCAGCTCGTGGACTCAGCTTAGTTAGCTCCGTTCTGTGCATAGTCCACGAGAAATGATGCAGTGTTGAAGCTGGGCTTAGCTGGAAGAAATTCAATAGCTGCGTCCCATTAAAAGACTGGAGAGGAGAATAGCAAGAAAAGCTAAGGATGGAGAGGGTCCCTAGAAATAGAGTCCAGATGGAGGAATACGGAGAGAAACCTCAAGAGAAAGACGAAACAAAAGGAGAGAAGGTTTCAGGCAAGGGATCTAACTTTGGAATCAGTTAACCAGTAGCAAGAAGAGGCGGGGGCTGCGGGTGGAAAAGCTTTTTTGCCCAGTGTCTTTCTGTAATAGCGACAAAGCTGCAGGGTCCAGCATGGGAAGAAGTGATTTTTTTCCCCCTAACAAACTTGACAACCTTCATGCTCCGGAGAAAGGGATAAAAAGAAATATCACATAAAATGCAATCAAACCCTACGGAGATTTTTTTCCCCGAACTTATTCCAATCCTACTTAGGCGACTTGAGCCAGAAGTGGTAATGAGGGTATGGGCCCGTGGAGGGATGGGTAAGCAATCCTGTGTACATTTTCAACTGAACCTGCACCAAAGAGGCAGTCTTTTCCTAAACGGGGAAAAGGAAGAAGAGGGAAGCAGAGAGGAAGGAAGTCTAAGGTTTCCTCGAATTGCTTATCAGCAACTCATTTAACTCACTTTCGGAAATCTGCTACAGCCAGCCACATGCACACCCCACGGGAGCAGAGCTTACCTATTTGCACGCTGCTCGGAAAGGCTCCCATGGCGAGTCCCCAAAATCCAGAAAATAACAAGACAATCTGTCTGCAAATAATCCTCATCTTCTTTTCTCCTCTCCCTGGCGCGCGCTCTCTCTTTCTCTCGCACTCTTCCTAAAGGCTGCTCAGAGAGGCATTGAGGACGATGGCGCTAAAATCAAAAACAACCAAAAAAAAAAAAAAAAAAAAAAAGAAGAAGAAGAAAAGGAGAGACGTTTGAGTGGTTTATGATTACGCCTATTTCCCTTTAGCAATCCATCGTGAGCTGCCAGATTTTTCCCGCAGTCTCCATAGCCCTGGGTGAGGTTTTCCGTCCGGCTGCAAATGTTGCACATGCAAAAGATGGTGGTGGAGTGTCTAGTGGCTGCTCACAGGGATGAGACATGCGCTCTATCTGTGCCTCACTCGCACTCGCGCTCGCCCCTCGCTTTCTCACATACACACAAACACTGGCGCCGCGGCCGCTGCACGCGCTCCCTCGCTCGCACCCGCGGACATCCCCCCACTAGGCTACACCAGCCTGGCGCTCCGCTGCCCTCCTCCCGCGCCCTCCCTGAGCGCGCACTACCTCTGCACGTCCCTCGCCCTCCGCCCGGTAGACTTCACCCTTGGGTGCTCACCGGAGCGCCCCGGTCTTTCCGACTCTCCGGAGCTAGTCTAAAGACTGGTTTTTGCTTCTCCTCCCCGATCACTGACTCCCTCCGCTCTTCTTCCCCGGTTCGCAAAGGGACGGACTCCGGGGCTGGGCACCCCCCAGTGCCCCTCTCTTAGCTTTCCCGGAGCCTCCACTTCTCAGCTGCACTTGGCAGGAAATTGGCCTGCGGGCGGGTCCGCAAACCAGGATTAGGGGCTGGGGGCGGTTAGTGCCTCCCCATGCCCCCGGTCCCCTGCCGCATCCTTTCAGGTTCTCCGGGAGGACGGGCTGCCTCCCTCCGCTCCAGCCCTCGCGTTCCCTCTCAGCCTAGCCCTCCTCTACCGCTGGGCTGCGCGCGCGGGGGGGGACTCCGGTCCAAGCTGCAGCAAAGATTTCTCACCAGCAAACAGCCCGGGAATCTGGAGAACCTGAGACAGGAACGAATGAGGTGAAGGGACTCGGGGAGGGGAAGGAGTAGAAAAAAGGGACAAAGGGCTACCCCTGGGAGTGCCTAAGAGGCCAGGGCTAAAGAAGAAACAGTTGTCGGAGGTCAGGCTCGGGGGAAGACCCAGAGGTGTTGAAAGACCCTAGGAAGAGAAGAAGGGAAGAAAAGGTTAATTTAAATAACAGGCAAAGTTTAAGGTAATGAACAGAATGAGGAAGAGACTGAGAAATTAAAATTGAATAGTGCCACTAATATATTCTCTGAAAGTCATGATGTAGAACTAGGAATAAAAACTGCATGAAATATAAAGTAGGTAAAGTAAGGACTCCTTTCTTTCCAGCCAACCATTCAGGAGGATCCTTTCCCCCTGTGCTGTGGCCCACTTCAGGAACAGGAGGGGCAGGTGTTGAGGTTCATGAAGGAAGGTGAGAAGGACAGTCCTTGGGGCAGCGGGCACAGGTGTCTGACAGAAAAATGGGGGTATTTTTCATCTGTATCTTTTCTTGCCTCTGGCTCTGAGATACTCTATCCCCCATATCACGTCTAGGAAGTCTTAAGCTCTTCATTGATGGTGTCAGTAATTGTTTCCACTGGGTAGAAGAAAATAAATTATCCTACAAAGTTTTAGGGCTATGATCTCACTTCCTCTCTAGGGTCATCTTTAGGATTGTCATTTTACCTGGTTGCCCTCATATGGAGCTGGTGCCCCACCTGGGGACAGTGTCTGTGGTGGGCAATGAGGGATTGGTTTCTGATACCCTCTGTATGTTTGGAGATCTCCTAATCTAAGCAGTCTATGAAGTCCCCTAATTCCATTAAACTGTGAGAGAAACCTCCAAGGGTTTTGAATCTTCATAGTTCTTTTGGGTGCCATTTGAGTAGAATCATATCATTTGGAGCCTGGAATGCTGGGTAATACCAGTTAGAGCCAAGCTTCAAGCATTCATTAGAGTTTAAGATTAAGGATCCTAGGATAGTGTCTTTCATTAAATATTGAAAATAATATACCAACTGCTTATGTTTATGTGGCATAATGGTTGGAAAAAGAGGAGAACGGATTGGTTAATGTGGAATTTTTGCACGGGCCCCACCTGGTAAAGCCTTTTTAAAAATATACACTCCCTTATTCTTTGAAGCCTCCTTATATTAAGGCATCACCATTACCTGTATTAGTAGCTTGTAGATGACGTTTAAAAATCACTGTTAAAACCTCAGAGTGCTTTTCTACTTTCTAAGTTCTGAGTTTTGCTTTTTACATCACAGCCTTTTTTACATTTCACAACCTATTACATTTCACCACAGATCGTTATGACAAAAACAACCTAATTGTGAGTAATTGGATTACACAAATCATACATTTGTCATTTTCTTTTATAAGGCTTTAGTCTTGCAAGTCAAGTAGGATTTGAAATGTTTTTCTTTTTTTCTTTTCTGTCAGGGTAAAAATGAAGGCTGTAAATAATAGCATCCTGTTTTCTCTCATAAGAAGATAACAAAATAAGTTGAATCCAAACTAAATAAAAATTTCAAAACACACCAAATCATTAAACTCACCACCCATTTTGGTAACTGATAAAGCTCAACTTGATATGTAAAGACAATTATTAACTTTTATTCTTATCAAAATTTAAAAATTTGAGCTTTCATGTGATGCGATGCTACTAGTGACATAAATGCAGTACAAATTCTGTTTTTTTAAAATAATTTATTTTTATTGTTGTTGATGAAAATATACACAGCAGAACATATACCATTCAACAATTTCTATGTACAATCCAGTGACTTGGATTACATTCTTCAAGTTGTGCAACCATTCTCACCCTCCTCTTCTGAATTGTTCAACCATGATGACTCCTGTGCTACTAATGACCACAAATGGTACAGCTGTATTATTTCGAAGTAGTAATTTTCTTTTTTGAATTTCTGTTTTTTCCAGTTAATTCAGACCTCGGTTTTTTTAAATTAGTCTATAATGTATCTCTCTAGAGGTATGTATAGGCACACATACACCTACACACACACACATATCTCCCTCCTCCCACCCCCATAATAATGCTGTTTCTTATTCCATCATACTGATGTGAGATGCCACAAAAGGGAAAGCATATTGGAGTTTGTTAGGCAAGAAGCCTGGGCCAGACTGTACGCATTCATAAGTAACAGAAATGACAATCAGCAATGCTGAAGACAAAATGGTGAAAAATACAGATGTGGCTGGTAAAGGTAGAGCCAACACCTGCACTTTTCATCCTGAGTGTCTGATTCTCTGCACCTTTTTTATAAATATGACTTGCCGTATGCCTCTTATTACCTCAAGTGTGAGTATGCATATTAAAAAAAAATTACTTGCACCTCTTTTTGGAGCATTTGTAAAAGTAGAGGTAAAATGTCCTGCTACATCAGTATAAAAAATTCAAAGGTTTATTACTAGTTGAGAAAACCAAAGACTTGTGTTTTGTTTTATTGTTTTTGAGCTATTATAAGTAAATAGCTTCAAAATTTCATTAACTTCTATTTGCTAATGGATTTAATTGAAAGTGTTATACCTGAAGACTTCTGAGAACTTTACAATTCCCCAGATCTCTGATCCTGTGAAGTGAATTCAGCCAGCATTTTGGTGGATGCACTACAGGAAAGGCCCGGTAGTGGGTGCTATTAGGGAATATCCAAAGATAATATGCTACAACCTTGTATTCAAAGCACTCACACAGCATGGCAGAATCTGATCACTCTGAGTCAAAAATTTTCTATCAAGGAATAGATGAGGGACAGCAATCTTGATGGGGGAATATCACAGAAGGCTTTGTGGAGGAGGGGTACCTAAACCCAAATTTTTTAATGAAAATAAATAGATACAGAACTTTCTATATAGAAAAATGGCATCCAGAAGTATGAAGGAGTGAAGCACATGCTGTTTAGCTTTTATGGGGTGCAAACTGGGGGTGCAGAGTATTAACAGAAAGTCAGGTTAGACCAAACGTGGAACACATTGAACAAAGTGGTTGAGATGTTGAACCTTAATCTGTGGGGAACGACCTGAGGCATAATTTTTTTTAAACAAGTTAATAGTATAATCAGATACGACCCTTTTAGAAAGGGAACACTGGTGGTAGTGGAGTTGCAAATGGTTTTGGTGGGACAGGAGAGGCAGGAGCCAAGAGACCAGCTTATAGGCTACTTTTTCAGAGGATCTAGAGTAACAGTTGGAATTGACTTGATGGCCAAGACAACAAGTCTTAGGTTCCCTAAAGTCCATTCTGACTCATTTGAACTCTACGTACAACAGAACAAAATACTGCCCGGTGCTGCACCATCCTCACAATCATTGCTATGTTTGAGCCCATTATTGCAGCCACTGTGTCATTTCATCTTATTGAAGGTCTTCCTCTTTTTCCATGACCCTCTACTTTACCAAGCTTGATGTCCTTCTCCATAGACTGGTCCCTCCTAATAACATGCCCAAAGTATGTGAGATGACATCTCGCCATCCTCATTTCAAAGGAGCATTCTGGCTGTACTTCTTCCAAGACAGATTTGTTCATTCTTTTGGCAGTCTGTGTCATATTCAATATTCTTTGCCAACACCATAATTCAAAGACATCAATTCTTCTTCGGTCTTCCTTATTTATTGTCCAGCTTTCACAAGCCTATGAGGCTATTGAAAACACCATGGTTTGGGTCAGGTGCACCTTAGCCCTCAAAGCGACATCTTGCTTTTTTTTTTTAATTTTATTGTGCTTTATGTGAAAGTTTGCAGTGCAAATTAGTTTTGCATTCAAAAATTTATACACAAATTGTTTTGTGATATTGGCTGCAACCCCTGCATTGTATCAGCACTCTCCCACTTTTCTACCCTGGGTTCCCTGTGTTCATTCCTCCGGGTTTCCTGACCCTTCCTGCATTCTCATCTTTTCTTTTGGGCAGATATTGTCCATTTGGTCTCTTTGCTTGATTGAACTAAGAAGCGCGTTCCTCATGTGTGTC